CTCTGGCTCGCTCTGATGGTCAGTACCACGGGTCAGGACTTCCAGGGATCCCTTTTGCCATCTGAGTTGTGCCTCCACGCATGCTTCTGTGCATCTCTTGCAGAGCCCGCGATGACAGAGAAGCTGCCGCAGATTACAGAGGCTGTGCAGCGTGTGTGCAGTGACCCCAGGACCCGGGTGAGCTGTTTGGGGAAAGGAAAGCACTGTCAGGGGGGTGATGCTGCTGCCAATACGGCAGGGCTGGGGTGACCAGGGATGTGCTGGGGCATCGACCACATGGTCACGATGGCTCCTGTCAGGAGAGCAGGCAGAGTGGAGCGGTCGGGTCCCTGTGCTGTGCACGGAAAGTGCACAGCCTGGTGCTAAGGCCTGGCCCTCACCTTTTCTCCTCTGCTTTTGTCATCTCTGCTCATGCCCAAAGGGCACCTGATGAGCAGGTGGCTTCCCTTGGCCTTCTGAGCAGGAAAATCACACCCACAATTGACCCCTGGCAGGTGAGGAGGGCCGTGCTGCACTTCATTGAGGATCTGCTCAGCGCTAACGCCTGGAGCTGCTCAGCCTGGGATGTGGTGGGGCACATCTTCAGGGAGTTCAGCCGCACCACAGGAAGAAGGGTAAGGACAGTGGGCAGCATCTTCCTTTGGAAGACCTGTGCAGCTCATAGGCTGGCAAAAAAGCACCGGTGGGGCCACACCTGAGCCTCCTGAGAGGCTCCTGAGAACTGAGAGTAACCAGTGTTTCAACACCACTGTTGTGCAGGCAGCCGGAGACCTTTCCACCCAGGAAGCCCAGGAAGAGGGAGCTCTCCAAGAGCTGTGCATCAACATCCTGGGGTCACTGGATGTCTCTGCGAGAGGGATCTCCAAAGTAAGTCACACTCTGCCCTGCTGCCACTCCTTGCCTTTGCACCACGTGTTCCTCGTCCCCTTCCAACACCTCAGGTCTGTCCTCCAGCGTGCTCTGAAGGACACAAGACTCAGGGAAATTCAGAGTCCTCTCTATCTCCAAGTGGAGGCAGGAATGCTGACATGCTCAACTGCCTCGTTCCCTACAGCTCCTGTGGCCAAGGCTGCTGCTGTACGTGGTGCCAGCCCAGTACACCAGCATGCTGATCCCAGTCTCCCGCTGCGTCCAAGCCCTGGCCAAGAGAGGGGAGCTGACGGTGCAGGACATGGAAGATCTGGATCCCCACTTCCTCAGCTCCATGTTTCAAGGTAGGAGCAGAAGCTCCCCCGTGAGCTCTGCTGACCCATGTTAGCACCCAGAAGGGAGTGCAGAGGTGCACGTGGCAGGGCACAGAGTGTCTTGGAGTCTTACTCAGCACTTCTTTCTCCTCGCAGGCCCACTGCTGACTCCCCAGACACTGCTGGCACGTCTGCTGGTAAGTAGATGCTCCTGAGGCCGGTGCCACAAGCCCCGAGGAGGAAGCAGCATGGCCGAGCGTGCCAGCACCTGCCTCACTCCTGGGGATGCCGTTCTCTTCCTAGCTTGCAATGTCATGGGCCAAGCTGCTGGCTGCTCCTTGCCCATCAGGGCAGAGCCAAGCTGCTTTCCTCCTGGGGGAAGCCGCTTCTCTTGCAGCGGAAGTGACCCTTTCTCCTTGCTCTCGCTCAGGTGGTGGCAGGGAGCCCTTCTGCAGGCAGCGAACTCCAAGCCGCTGCCTTGCTGCTCCTGCAAAACCTCCACAGCAAGATCCACAGAGCTGTGGGGACCAAGTGGGCTGCTGAGATCCCCCTGCTGCTGCAGCGCCTTGAAGGTAAAATGCTGGTGGGGAGGGAGAGGTAGAGTGGGCGAGTGCCCAAGCCAAGCCAGGTTGGGTGCAGCTCTTCTTTTGTGGCTTGATTCCAAGCAATGCTCTTTTGCTTCTTGTTGCTGTGCAGGGAAAGATGAGAGCTTCCCCAACTCTGAAGAGTGGGAGCACCGTCTGCTAAAGGTACAGCACTGTGGAGAGACATGGTGCAGAGAAATGCTTGCCTGCCTGCCTGCCACAAGGAGCCCCGCTCCCATACGAGCCACCACGGGACAGGAACAGCCTCTCAAAAGCTGCTGTGGAGCAGCTGCTCGCCTTTGCAGCGCTGCCTCTTCCTCTTTGTCCCAAGCCCAAGGGGGGGTCTTAGGAGAGGAGTAGTAGGTGGCTTTAATGGAGGGAATGCTGGGGGGAGCTGGGAGAGGGGCTGTTCTTCCAGGCACCTCTCCCCAGAAGGCTGCAGTGACTTGGGAACGCGGGAAGAGGCAAAGGGCAAGGGAACATTGGCTTCTCCTGTTCTCCAACAGTTCCTGAGGGCATCGCTGGACATCGTGGAGGACGAGGCCTGGACCAAGGCCCTGAGCTGCGAGCTGAGCCGGCGGCTGAGCAGCTCTGCCAGCAGCTCTGCAGAAAAGGTGAGTTCCCCGTGGCTCTAATCAGCAGTGCCCAACTGGGGCTGGGGCTGAGGCTGGTGCTCTGCCCACACGGGCTGCTCATGCTGCTTCCACGGCCTGTGCCCTCACAGGGCGCTTCCCTGCAAACTGCCTGGGGCTGGCTACAGCTCTGCTCCACAGCTGCTCTCAGCGACTCCCAGGGAGTGTGCGTCCTTCCCATCTAGCCCTCTCCCGTAAGGTCAGGCTGCTGCCACATCCCAGCTTACTCCTTCCCTTCCCACGCAGACCTTCCTCTACAAGGCTCTGGG